TCCCCGAAAATGGACCTCCGCTCATCCTCCTGGGTGACTTCAACATCCAGACAGAGAAGTCATCTGACCTCTTACACCTACTTTCTTCCTTCGCTCTGTCACTCAGTCCCTCTCCTCCTACTCACAAAGCCTGCAATCACCTTGACTACATCTTTACTAGAAACTGCTCTACCACTAACCTCTCTGTAACTCCACTTCATGTGTCTGATCACTTCTCCATCTCTTACTCGCTTCCACTCTCTATAACTAACAAACCTCCCTCATTGACTAACTCTGTACCGGCTCGTCGCAATATTCGCTCCCTCTCTCCCTCCTCGCTGGCATCCTATGTTCTATCAGCTCTCCCTTCAACTGATTCCTTCTCACTCTTGGATCCAAACGCTGCTGCAGAGACTCTCCTCTCAACTCTTTCCTCCTCTCTAGACTCTCTCTGCCCTCTTACGACACGACGGACTGGCAAATCCCCTCTGGCTCCGTGGCTGTCTCAACCGGTGCGTGCCATGAGAGCCACCATGCGAGCATCGGAAAGGAGATGGCGTAAATATAAACGACCTGACGACCTACTTAAATTTCAATCTCTCCTCTCCTCGTTTTCTGCTTCTATCTCTGCTGCCAAAAGCTCTTTCTACCAATCCAAAATTGAATCTTCATTTTCTAACCCCAAAAAACTCTTTTTCGATCCTCTCTAATCAAACATCATCAAACCCCCTACCCCTCCTCCCCCTCCACCCTTCTTCCGGGAGACTTTGTCAACTACTTCACCAAGAAAATAGCTGACATACGCTCCTCCTTCTCAAACCCACCTCCTACTTCTCTTTCGCCCTCACTTTCCTCTTTCACTGCCCTCTCTCCTAACCAAATTCTTACCCTAGTAACCTCTGCCCGTCCGACCACCTGCCCTCTTGACGCCATTCGATCACATCTTCTACAATCTATCGCACCTGACCTTCTTCCGTTCCTCACCTGTCTCATCAACAACGCTCTGTTATCTGTCTGTTTTCCCAATTCTCTGAAGGAGGCAAGAGTCAACCCCCTCCTGAAGAAACCTACCCTCAACCCTTCTGAAGAAAACAACTACAGACCGGTCTCTCTTCTTCCCTTTTTGTCCAAAACCCTTGAACGTGCTATCTTTAATCAACTCTCCTCTTATCTCCACTGTAACAACCTCCTTGACCCTCACCAGCCAGTTTCAAGGCAGGCCACTCCACAGAGACTGCTCTACTTGCTGTCTCAGAGCAACTCCACACTGCTAGAGCCGCCTCTCTCTCCTCTGTCCTCATCCTTCTGGACCTCTCTGCTGCCTTTGACACGGTCAACCACCAGATCCTCATTTCCTCCCTTCAGGAACTTGGTGTCACAGGCTCTGCTCTCTCCCTTCTCTCGTCCTACCTCGACGGCCGCACCTACCGGGTAACCTGGCGAGGATCTGTGTCGGAACCTTGTCCTCTTACTACTGGAGTTCCTCAGGGTTCCATGCTGGGTCCCCTCCTGTTCTCGCTTTACACCAACTCTCTTGGCGCTGTCATTCGCTCGCATGGCTTCTCTTACCACAGATATGCCGATGACACCCAACTAATTCTCTCCTTCCCTCACTCGGACACCCAGGTGGCGGCTCGGATCTCTGCCTGTCTAACTGACATCTCTCAGTGGATGTCCGCCCACCATCTGAAAATCAACCCCCGACAAGACTGAACTACTTATTTTTCCCGGAAAAGATTCGCTTATCCAGGACCTGAGAGTCAACTTTGGAAACTCCGTACTAACGGCCACTTTGACCGCTAAGAACCTCGGCGTCACACTCGACAGCCAACTCTCCCTGACTCCCAACATCACCGCGACAACGCGATCATGTAGATACACGCTCTACAACATCAGGAGAATACGTCCCCTTCTCACTCAGAAGGCAGCGCAGGTACTGATTCAGGCTCTTGTCATCTCACGCCTGGACTACTGCAACTCGCTCCTGCAGGTCTCCCTGCCACCGCCATTCGACCTCTGCAGCTCATTCAGAATGCAGCAGCTCGACTGGTCTTCAACCTTCCGAAATTCTCCCACACTACTCCACTCCTCCGCTCTCTTCACTGGCTACCAGTGGCCGCCCGCATCCAGTTCAAAACATTGGTGCTCACGTACCATGCTGTGAATGGATCGGGTCCAGCTTACATCCAGGATATGGTCAAACCCTACATCCCAAGCCGCACTCTCCGCTCTGCATCTGCAAAACTACTCGTCCCTCCCTCACTGAGAGCAAAACACTCGACTAGATCTCGACTCTTTGCTGTCCTTGCGCCGAAATGGTGGAACGAGCTCTCTGAAGACACCAGGACCGCAGAGAGCCTTCACATCTTCCGCCGCAAACTAAAGACACACCTCTTTAGACACTACCTCGACTAAAGACTAACAAATTGTAGCACTTAAATTGTACTTGTAACGTCACTCATCTATAGCAAATTGTAAATTGGCTTATTGGAGGAAATTGCAGTTTCTTGTTTCTTGTTCTCCTGAGTTTGTACCCTATGGTTGAATGCACTTATTGTACGTCGCTTTGGATTAAAGCGTCCGCTAAATGACATGTAATGGGAAGCGCCCACCGATCATAATGGTAGGGGAAACACTGGTATGTCCAATTTGGTAAAAAAATACTATTTCTGTGCAGTTTCCTAATTGAAGGCCAAGGGTTATTTGCTCATATTTAATCCAATTCACCAACAGCCGTTTTGTTCTTTTACAGCATTCAAATGGAAGGGAGTGAGGCTCCCAAGACACTAACAAAAGTGTTCCTAGATGGGACAGAGATATGCAAGAAGATGCTTCAACTGCCCTCTATTGCAGACATTCTTGATGCCTGCAAAAGTTCATTAACTTGCAATGCAGAATGTGATAGACTTCTAAAATGTATCACAGATTTTAATGAATACATTGACATGGACATCAATGGCAATGTCGGAAACTTAGACAAATATCACATTTTGTTCAAGTCAACCAAGCCAAAACACCCTCGGAAACAGTTGGTATGTACATTTAATAGTCCTGGGAAAACTCAATTAATAATTTGTTTCTATTTTATAGACTACTTTGGCTGCCAAGGAACTAACCCAGTAGATAAGCATGGTTGTCTACACCATTACTGAGCAAAAGTTGTAGGATGTAAAAAGTCAAAAAAAGATGATAAAATACATAATGAGACCTTAGATCCTGATGTCTCAGTAGACCTTTTACATACAAATAGTTATGTACACAGTGATCGAAGTTGGAATATTGTAAGATTGTTGGAAAATGTAATGTATAGGTGCGGTACTAGTGTGCAGCTGTGAGGTGAGAATCTTATGCATAATGGAACTCTATCATCTTAGTGATTTATATTGTTTCTGATCAATCACTGACATTTTCTTTTGAAGGCTGAACCACGGGATACAGATGCAGCTGGTCCAAGTGGTCAATTGAAGGTATGTTTCTTGAAAGATGCATAGATATACTAGTATTAATAAATATTGGATTGATATTTGTGCAAATGGTATTGAATTGCATTAAATAAGATTTAACTGTTGAATAATTTATCTTGCTCATGAAAGCATTTTGGATCTATTCTGCTCCATAGTGTAAGGCAGTGAACACTATCTGCCTCCACAGAATAGTCAAGGAGAAAATGATGGTGCGCATGGATTTAATGCAGCCAGTCTGACAGCACTCCTTGAGAGGAAGGCCCCAAGTGTACTGGCCGAATATGAAAAATCAGGAACACTCTCTGTGACCTCCAGAAAACTTATTGTGAAGATAGGTGTCAGTGATCTGGTGGAGCGAAGGGGATTGTGAGTTAATTCTAAGAGTATGAATATAGAAATCTTGCTTTATTATCAACCCATTTAAGCCATTGCTCACAATTTAAAACAGTAGTTCATACTTCTGAAATTGTGCAGCACATATTTAGGTTAACTAATGTGACTTGTTAAATCAGTTAAATTAATCACGGTGAAATCACTCATGAATGCATTGCAACAAAAATATGTGTTCTCTATAAAAGCCTTGTATAGTTTTCTAATTTTTCTGGCCTTAATTCTACATTTTTCTTTCAGTTACCCTTCAAGTGCTGACAAACAGAATTTGGCTAAAAGCTTAATAACAGTCTTCCCATCACCGGAGATCAAGATACAAGAAGAGAATGAAGGATTTGGAAGTATAAACAAATGTCTTACAGTAAAATACCTTTTGCATTATATTTGCTGGGTATTAATACCCAATGATTAGTAAATTGGTATTGGGTAGCAAGTATATTGTCTGAAATATAAGTTCATATTAAGGCAAGAATAGCATGGGACTCTCAAAAAGAATTGTGGAGTCATCCTTTTATTGAAAGAAAAATCCCTTTTTAATTTAACTGCATCCAGAAGCACTTTTATGACCCGGTGTCGCAAGCGTGGCAGGTCTAGTAATCCCTCTGGAGTTAGTGTAACACTAGAAGTGATTGCAGATGGGGAAGAAGAGTCCATCAAGGAGTAGATAACCTCTACCAAAAGGATGAGACCATCTCCTGAGAACATTGCATCTATCAAAATGGGCATGGAGAAAACCTTCACCAACCGAAGACTCTGGATTACAAACAAGTCACCAAACGTGGCTGAGGTTTTTAGGTGTTACAGCAGAAGACCACCTAAAAATGGCATTTAAATATATTGTGTAACACAAATTTTACCAATATACTTTCCCTATACATTCCCACGGGTGCTCTGTCATTTAACATACTATAAGACGCACTATAAGACGCACTTAAAATCCTTAATTTTCTCAAAAAACGACAACAACAACGTTTTATAATCCGGAGCGCATTATATATGGATCAATTGGTTGATCCACACTGGTTGTACACGGCGCTCAAGGCGCTCTGTCAAAATGTTTCAGAATGAATAAACAATAATAATAAATATGTTTCGGTACGACTACCGAAACTGCAAAGCCGCACTGCTTGCAGCATAATGGTAACCACCGATACTGTGCTCACTTACAGTTAGGGTGACCAGACGTCCACTTTTCCCCAGACATGTCCTCTTTTTTGAGACCTAAAAAATGCGTCCGGCAGAGATTCCAAAAACGTCCTGGATTTTGCTTCGTCGGATATTTGTGGTTCTCTGGGTCTTTCACAAACTAGTTATTCCGCCCTTACAAGTTTTGGACATGGTATCTCTCTTAGTTCCACCTTCTTTCGCGAGCTCTGACTGTAGAGAGAACAGTCATTGGTCGACTAATCTCAACGTTGCCAGATAAACAATAATTATCCTCCAAATACGACCATTTTGAGCCTTTGGTACGATACTTCACCATTTCCAATCTGCCCTGGCCTCCGGGAACTAGCTGGTCTACCTTAAGAAGTGGGCGGGTCTTAAGCACGTTTACCAATGAGGCGCTTTCTCCGCATTTAAATCGCTTTGTGTTTGTCAACCCCCCCCCCCCCTTTGCTTACCCCGCCCCCCACCCCAGTCAGGCTCCACTCTCAATCCCGAGTAGCGCTACCTCTCTCAATCGCCATATTGGGTACTGAGGTCGGTCCGCACTTGCTCTCGCTTGCGGGACGAGTTCGACGCGAGCGTCTTCGGTTCCCGGGCTTCTTAGGCTTCGGAAGAGCAGTGGCGACCGCCCCCCTTCGAGCCCCTACCCACGCACGCGCAGTTTACTCATGGCTTAAGTCCTTTTACGCTCGCTTTGGATCCCGTGCAGCGTCGAGGAGACACCCGCTGTTCACCGAGCGCTGGCTCGCATTGGTGTGGTTCAGTTTTTTCTCGTGAAAACTGGACGTCCTCGCCTGTTTGCAAGAAAACCAAATTCCGCATTTCTTTTTTTTTTTGGTGGAGGGGGGCCGGGCAGGTGGGGGGGGGAAATGTCAGATGTTCGACTATCCAACGGGAGCCCGACTCTGGAGCGGACGGACTCCCGGGTGTCGGATCACCCGAAGCCGTCGGCTTGCAGGATCCTCTTCGGCCGGGCGGATCACGTAGGGTTAAAGAGGGAATTAACGGGACATTTCCGGGAGATGGAAGAGGTCGCTTCCGCCAAGTGGGGCTTCGATTTCGCCAATCACAGGCCGCTGGTCCACGGGAGGATCAAGTGGGAGCTGGTGGACTGCAGAGACGTCCCGGATTTCTACAACAAGCCGCCGCGGAGGGAGAAGAAGGGCGTCTGCTCCGCCGGGAATAACAAGGTGGATCTAAACGGGAATCATAGTTGCGTGGTGCTGGCTTCGAGCGAGGACACCGAGCGGTCCGATGGACACATGGAATGCACGGAACAGTGCACCGGAATGAGGAAAAGACCGGCGTGTCACGGTGAGTTCCTGGCTTCGTAACCAAATGAACACCAAGAAAAAACAGTCCCAAGAGGCAAACGTGAGCACCGCGGACGGTAAGGGGACCACTCTGGCTGTGGTGCAACTTTATTTATGTATAATTAACCAGTTAAGAGTCCGTTTAGAGAAGTGTGCCCTAGCTGTAGAATCTGAATGGAACATTTGATCATATATTTGAAGATGCCAATGCGATCAGGTGGTGCTTTTAACGGATCCCATTTGCCGGTGTATAGTTCTTGTAATTATTTTAACTCTTATTCAATTTAGTTGCCTATTAGATGAGCTTTTCATTCAACCATGGGCAATTCGTTGAGTTTTGTAGTAAAAGTGGTAGTGTGAGTAAATGCCCGATGCTGGTCCACTTAAACAAAGATTTTAAGAAACAGTAAAAAATATATAATAAAGGGGTAAAAAACGTGCACTTTTTTTCCTTTTCCTTTTTTTAATACAGCCGCTGCCTTCCTTGAGTTTTCGACTAAACTGTAACCAACAGGTCTGCGGAACAACAGCGTAGTAACACGTCAGCAGCCACAGCCCTCTGAGCGGGGACGGGAAGGGGCAGGGTGGTGCAGTCACACGCAGGCTAATCTTACAAACGCACACACAACAACGCGTATACGCACGTCAGTCCCGCCGGCGCAGAGTGTGCAGAAGAGCGCAGCTCTGACACCCAAGTGCGCCAAAGGGGAGGGAGAATACAGGCACAGGATCTGCAGGCTCGTGGCGGGACCCAAAACTCCACCTTTTCATGGCATTTTTTAATCCATATCTGGAAGGTGAAGGTTTTTTTGGAGGGGTGTAATGCAAACTTTTTTCTTTTGCACACTGAAAATGTGTGATGAAACAAGTCTATAGCTATGTGAAAAATACCCAATATACCTTTACTTGAAAGTTTTTGCATTATGTAGCTCCCTTGTAAAAAAATATTATTATACATTTAAAATGGAAGTTGAAGTAATCACCCTAACCCCGTCTGCTATTTTTACACCTGGAATAACTGATGAACTTCTGATGGTGGAATATGAACGATTAGCTGAACCTGTAACTCTGTGTTTTCAGTTTGTGGAGTCTTTTTGCTTTTCTGACAGTCCTCCTTTTTGTCAAAGCGCACAAGGACATAGCGTTCATGTGTTGAGGAGAACACTCGCAAGCTCAAAGGATTCTATTCTCACTCATTTGCAAACCTTTTTCTGTAGCTGTGCAACCATGCCGACTCTTATTTTATGTTTTGTTTTTTTCCCCTCTTTCATCAAATTGTCCCACAGAGCCGAAGTATTTCCCCGTTTCAAGTTTGAAACCTCAGTTTTGGTGGATTTTGGAGAAGGAACTACGCAGCATCAGAAACATATCAACCCTCCTGAAGACGGGGGAGGATGCTGTTGAAGCACTGAAAAGAAACACTAGACAAGTTGTGGCACTCAATTAAAAAGTTACTGCCTCCAGAAGCAGTCAATGTAGCAGTGTGCAATTAGATTTAATTTCCTTTTTGTTCTTTTTTTTCCTACATGTGTGTAAATAAATATGCATGTTATATTTCTTTCCATATGTAGCACATAAGGGAAAACATTATTTGAACACTAATCCTTTATGTAAAAAGGTGTGAGCTTTGATATGACTTGAAGAATTTGCAGTGTAGTTTGATGCATGCTTCCAAAATGCTTCGAAGTCACCAATGGAATATGATCAACTTCCTTCTCGAGATCTCTCGCACACCTCTGTCACTTTGCGGTGCCGTTTGATTTGGAGTTGTGAGGTACTCAGATATTGAAGGACAAATACCGTACAGACTGCACAGGTTGTGTTATTAAGTCATCCTCTCTGTGACGTTATTCTTTTCTCTCCTGAAAGTTTTTTGTGGAAAGGGTTCAAATGTACTACAATACCAAATCCATGGCTGCCTCAATTGACTTTGACTTTTTGACAGCTGCAAGAGGAGGCAGCTGGTGATTTTCTTTGATATACTGGACATCTCGGCGTACAACGCCTTTTGTCATCTGGATGGCATTGAACCCAGAGTGGAACAGAGGGAAGCTCCAAAGGACACGCCTCTTTCTCGAGGAACTTGGAAGGAGGATTCAGGAGGACAATGCTGGTGCCCCATCCACCCAACCTACAGAACCATGAACAACTTTGTGTCATTTGTAAATTTGTTGAATTTTGTCCACTCATATCTTGATTTATAATTGTGTTATACATGTGTTATAACAAAGTTAAAGGGCAAATATTAACCATATTTGCTGTCTATATTGCTTCTAATTGGGATGAAGAAAACCTCTGTTGAGTATTTTAACATAAAATTGATTGTGTTTAATTAAAACCCCCAAAATACAGAGGGTCCAACAGACCCACAACACCTGCTGAGTAACAAAAAAATGACTACCATACAAGAGTTAATTCAAAAGACCAGCTTACACCTGGAGAGACAACTTCTCAGAAATGCAGTCACCATGCCCGGGTATTTTTGTAAAAACTTTGCAATGTACCTATGTACATCATTTTTTTAAAACACTGAGAAATTATACTAACTTATTTATGTCAATTTTTTTTATGTAGAATTAAAAAAATGGGTTTTTGATTTCAGTTATCCAAAGTATTTTACATGTACTTTATTATAATTGTGTAATTTTGCAAAAGAATATTTTTGGTGGGTTTTTTTCCCCTTTTCAATGTGGTTGCAAACTGACCCTGGTAAAATATTTGATGTGCATTTTATAATGTGTGGTTATAAAATGTGTTGCAATCAATTAAAAAGAGGGGGCGTGGTGTGTGTATATTAGCGTGTGTCTGTTCACCTGTGGGGCTCGGCGGATTGTTTGGAGCATGGCTGCAGGGTGAGCATGGGACAAAAACTATCTTTTGACCGTCATCGTCACCGGCTCTGGGGTAATTATTGTCATAACAAAGTTTCATGCACTGTTGATCCTCTGAAAGACATCTATCGAGGAAGTGATTGGCGTGCTTCTGCTGGTGAGCCAGGAGTAATAAACATGACCATAAAATACTTCAGTGCGACGCGTCTTGATTATAAATCTCCTCATGTCTTAGCCTTCTGCGGCTTTTGATAGTTTTTGTTGTGTATAAGCCGCTACAATTTGTCAAAAGATAAGTTTTGTGGAAGCGCAAAAATGTATTGTCGTGATAACGCTGGATGTTTGACATAGCTTTCAAAGTTGTAGACGATAGACGTGAACGCTCATTCGACTCGCGTAAAGCCCATTCATTCACAATTTGCTGCTACTATGCCGTTGTAAGCACAGCGCTTCGAATGAAAGGTACATTATAAACATTGTGCATTGTTTGTCAAAGATTGATTGTATTTCCCGCTAGGCTTAGTAGTACTTTCGCATAAGGTGATTGTACTGGTTTGTTTGTTTGTTTTGGGACCTTTTGTAGTGTTTTTGTTCGTGCGTCAAGCGGGTGAAGCATTGCGCTTGGGAGTGCCGCCGTAGTTCTGGTTCTAAGACTGTTAGTCTGGTTCGAGACTATCGGTATTTAGGTACATAAATACCCACCGCTAGTACGCACAGAAGACTAGGGTCGAGTTTAGCTTAGCCTCGGAAGTTAGGGGGGAATCAAAACAATGCACTGTACTATTTTTATGTGGAAATACAAATTACAAGGCGCTATGTTTCGGTGTCATTTGCAAATATTTTTGTGAGTTATTGGATTTTCTTTTGTAAACGAAAAATGGAGTTGAATGATACCAGCCAAGTTGAGAAAAGACAAATAACACTTACACCCAAAGCTTTTTAGTATAAATTCGAAAAGCTCCAAGAAGAACGCCAAGTAAAATAAGAAAGATTAAAAGTGCAAGAAGAGAAATTAAAGACCTAATGCAAAGTGCAGATAATGCCGAAAAAATTCGGTCATGTCCTGAAAATGTATCAAGCTTGTTCAAAGAAGCAAGTCATCTTCATGATGATGTGGTTCCTATGCTCCCACCGGAAGAACAAGAAAAACAAAATGCTTGGTTTGTCAGCATTGAAGAGCATACAATTGCTTTTGTAGAGACAAATAAATTGTAGACAAATAAATGGCTGCTTGAGGTGCCAGACACACCAGAAGAGTGTGTAGTCGCACCATGTTTAGGATCCGTTCCCAATGATGAGGCATGTATTGTGGAAATTGCAGTAGATGACATTAGACTGATTAGACCGATTGATAGTGTTTCTAATGTTTCTAATGTATCAGTGAAGTCAAAGAGCCGCAGTACAGTAATAAGTAAATCTATGTCCACTACTTCATCAGCCAGATTAAGGGCTGAGGCTGAGACAGCTGCTCTGATGGCTCGTCAAAGAATGCTGAGTCAGAAACATGCCCTGGAAGAACAGCAGGAACTATTGAGGAAGAGGAAGGAGGAGCTGGACCTGGACATGGAGCTGGCAGCGTCTATGGCTAAAGTGAGTGTGTTGAAGGCTGCAGAAGGATCTTGTGTGTCTAATGTTTCTGTAAAATCAGATGGGATGAACTCCTATTTGGAAAGAGGAAAAGGAACACAGTTAAGACCTGACACTGCACAATTTGTTCCTGAGTTCAACACCCAACCTGCGGAGTCTGGAGGTGAAGCGTTGCTTTCGGGTTATTCGGCTGTGAGGCCTAAGACACACAACAGAATGGAGCCACCTGCTGCTGTGACTGGGGCCGGACCGTCTGCTTTGCTTTCTCAGCCCGCTGCTGCGACTGGGGTTGGTATGTCCACTCTTCAAGGAGGTGCTTTTCATCCACCAGTTACCCACATTCAATCTGGAGCTGTACCCGTAACAGTGAATAATTCTGGTCAGCGTTTTCTCAGTTCTGGAAAGACAAAATAAAATTACATCTTTATTGGTTGAACAATAGTCAATTTTTCTCTTAACTAAGCGAGACCTACATGTTTCCGATGGAGTATCAAACCTTCATAAGAGGATTTGAACACACCATTGAAGCTAGAACACAAAGTCAAAAGGACGGTTTGTATTACCTCGAGCAGTATACGAGAGGTCAGCCCAGGGATTTGGTCCGTAGCTGTCAACATCTGCCCCTGTCTCGTGGATACACTAAGGCAAAGTCACTACTTCAAGAACATTTTGGCGATCCATTCAAAATAGCCTCCGCTTACATGGAGAAGGTGCTTTCATGGCCGATGGTTAAAGCTGAAGATATCAAGGCTTTGCAGGCGTATAGTCTAATGTTACAGGAATGTTGCAACTCCATGGGGACCGCCGTAAATGATCTGAATGTACCTACGAATATGCAAACCATTGTGAAAAAGCTGCCTTATAAGTCGCGGGATCATTGGAGAAGTGTGGCCGGTGATATTCAGGAGAAGTTTCGCCGTAGAGCTACATTTTCGGACATTGTGGAGTTTGTTGAGAGGCAAGTCAAGATAGCAAGTGACCCTCTTTTTGGAAATATACAAGATACACCTGTGACAGGAAGAAAGGAATTGGTCAAGTTGCACTCTCAAACTGGTTAGTAGTAGTTTTGCCACTACTGTAACACCTGCTGGGAAGAAAGTGGAGTCTGGCAACAAAATAGAAAAGAACTCGCTTGTGAAAGTCTGTTTGTTTTGTGGAGCTGGACATTCGTTGGATGTTTGTCTTTCTTTAGACACAAGATGAAAAATTGTCCTTTTTGAAGGAGAACCATATGTGCTTTGGATGTCTGTGCGTTGGGCACATGAGTAAAGATTGCAGAAAACGTCTAATATGTAGAGTATGCGATTATAGGCACCCGACGTTGTTACATTTCCCTCCCAAAGCAAAGCAAAAGAGTTCGACTCAGGCCAATGGTGGCTTTGAACCAGCCAGAGAAGGCGCTGTGGTGTCTGATCAGTCCAGTTGCTTGACTGGGGCCGGTAAGCAGGACTGTACACTTTCTATCTTGCCTGTTCAGGTGAAATCCAAAAGGGGACAAGAGACCGTGGTCACGTATGCGTTTCTGGATCCGGGGAGTACTGCCTCGTTTTGTACAGAGCGCCTCATGGACCGGCTCAATCTTACAGGGAAGAAGCTCGGAATCCTCCTTAGAACTATGGGGCAAGAGAAAGTGGTGGACAGTTACAAGTTGTCAGACTTGGAAGTCTCCAGGTTGGATTCTGACAGCTTTTGTGACCTGCCTGAGATTTTTACTCAAAGAAGCCTGCCTGTTCATAGAGGTAACATTCCACGCTCAAAAGACCTCCAAAGATGGCCGCACCTGAGACACATACAAATACCAGAGATTGACGCTGAGGTGGACCTTTTGATCGGCACTAACGTCCCTCAAGCTCTGGAGCCGTGGGAGGTGGTTCGCTCAGTGAACGGCGGCCCTTATTCAATTAAGACCATTCTGGGTTGGACCGTGAATGGTCCGCTACGAGGAGATAATCAGATCTGTGACCAGTGTTCACAGCCCGACATCACAGTTAATCGCATCTCTGTGGCGAGACTTGATGAGCTTTGGGAAAAACAACTGAAGGTGGATTTTCCTGAAAATATGCATGATGAACAACCTGGTCTGTCGAAAGAGGATAAGCGATTCATTGAGTCAGTTTCTGAATCTGCCAAGCTCATTGATGGTCATTATAATATTGGTTTGCCAGTAAGACAAAGATACCTCAAAATGCCAAACAACAAGACCATTGTAGAACAGCGTACGTTGAGTCTCAAAAGGCGCTTGAATAAAGATCCATCTTTTCGCTCCGATTATATTACATTCATGTCCGGGATGCTGACTAATGGCTACGCAGAGAGAGTTCCTACTGGGCAGCTGGCCCGTTGTGATGGAAGGGTGTGGTATATACCCCATCATGGGGTGTATCATTCCAAAAAGAAAAAGTTGCGAGTAGTTTTTGATTGTGGGATCACGTTTCGGGGGATGTCTTTGAACTCACAGCTTCTTCAGGGACCAGATCTCACAAACTCGTTAGTGGGAGTCCTCACAAGATTCCGCAAAGAACCTGTCGTGCTCATGGCCGATATTGAGTCCATGTTTCATCGGGTCAGGGTGCCAGTTGAAGACTCCGACTTGTTGAGATTCTTGTGGTGGCCAGATGGAGATTGCACTCAGGAGCCAGTGGAGTACAGAATGAGGGTGCATCTATTCGGTGCTACTTCCTCCGCTAGCTGTGCCTGTTTTGCCTTGAGGAAGTGTGCTGAAGACAATCGAAAGCGCTTCAGTCCTGTGGCAGTTAACACTGTACTGCACCATTTCTACGTCGATGATTGTTTGGTGTCTGTTGGCTGTGAAGAGGAAGCAGTATCCTTATGTTGAGAGCTCTGTGCCTTGTGTGCTAAAGGGGGTTTTAAGCTCACGAAATGGATTAGTAACAAACGCAATGTCCTCGCTACTATCCCTCAGGAGGAGCGGGCCAAAGAGGTAAAAGATCTGGATTTGGACAGTGATGCTCTGCCCGTAGAGCGTGCCTTGGGTGTTCAGTGCTGCGTCCAATCTGACTCATTCAAGTTTAAAATTACACTTAAGCCCCACCCACTCACAAGAAGAGGAATCTTATCCGTGACTAGTTCAATTTACGACCCTCTTGGTTTCTTGGCACCTGTTGTTTTGTTCGCCAAGAAAATCCTCCAAGACCTTTGTAGGAGACGTCTGGGATGGGATGATCCTTTGCCGTCTTCTGTTGTAGGAGAATGGACGGCCTGGCTGAGGGACCTTCATGATCTTGAAAATTTGGAGGTCAGTAGGTGTTTAAAACCAGTGGACTGTGGTCGTCTTGCCTCTGCTCAGCTTCACCACTTTGCAGATGCAAGTGAGGAAAGGTTTGGGACTGTGACTTACCTGTTACTCCATGACGATAGCGGGCAAAGTCACCGTGCGTTTGTAATGGGAAAGGCACGAGTAGCTCCTTTAAAACTTGTCACCATTCACCCTATGGAGCTGACTGCCGCGGTGGTGGCTAGCAGGATGGACAACTTGTGGAGGAAAGAGCTGCATATGGACCTTGAAGAGTCGGTTTTTTGGACGGACAGCACTTCTGTTCTGAAATACATAAAAAATGAGACCTCTAGGTTTAAGATCTTCATA